TTTTACCAGAAATTGAGTCAGCTAAAGCCGTGTACCTGCCATTCTCCAGACCTGGAACTTGCAGCAGGGGTGGACCTCTGTGGAGCTCTGCATGTGATCAACTGATGTTTCAGTCTAGGGATTGGCCTCAGCTCAACGGCCACTCAGGGCTGGGACATCCCTCTGCACTCTCACAGGACTGGGACATCCCTCTGCAGTCTCCCCTGCCAACTCCTTTTCTTGGCAAAAATAAAGCTCTGAAAAACTCCTGCCAAATTATAAAATCTCTACAATCTCTAGAAAATAGAGGATTAGTGAGTGGAGGGCCAGGTCCAACCTTATAATCAGGAGCTGAGTCCATCAGTCAGTTGTTTCTGTGACTGGATCGGCAACATCACAAACTTCACCACATCAGCACAAATCAACAACTTCCAACTGTCAACACAGAGAAGAGAGAGAGAGAGAGAGAGTGAGAGAGAGAGAGAAAGCTTCTCACGCAAAATAAGACTTTAAACTAAAGTCCCAAAACATATTAAAAACTTATAAGCTAAGATTTATAGGCAACAAAATTTTAAAAACTACCTCTTGATAACAATGATTTAAGTGAATAATCTCCTGAAAACTATAATATATGTGTATAGGATGTTTAACGATATCAAAAATTATAAAACAAAACAAATATTAATATGGAAAGATTATGAAGAGATTTGGTCTGAAATATTTAAAATTTAAAAGTTAGTTATTAAAAATAAAAAATTATAAGTAAACTGCACAAAATCTAAGCTGAACATATTGAAAATAAAATCAGTAAATTGTATATTTCTACTGACAAATTCATTCCAAATGCAATCTAGAGAGAGAAAAAAATTTACTGAAGAAAAATGTGAAACTATAGATAAACACTGAGAAAATTAAATCTAAAAACTCAATGTTAAAATCTGGATTGAAATTTGTTGATATTTTATGCTTATATAATCTTATAAACATTATATTATTCATATATATTCTTTTGTAATATTAAACTTTGGTCACACCATGTGCATTCCAGTAAGTGAAATGTACATTTCAATAAGTGAAAAAAATGCTTCATTTTTTAGCTATATTAAATTCATTTGTTGGCTAAGTATTAAACAATCAATTTAGCCTTAAAGAACTTTTAAATTATGTTATTTCTATGATTATAACAGGAATGGTACAAAAGGATTTCTACAAATAGTATTGAGCAATCTTTTAATTTTTTTACAATAGATTCATAAAATTTGGGTCAAAACCATAATTAAATCAATGATTTTTCACTTAGAATAAATTTCTAAAATTGAGTCAAATTGTACAATTCAACTTAGTAAATATCTCCATACTAGTCTCCAGAAAGTCTGCTGTTGTGAAGTTTACATCACATAATACATCTAAACAACTCAGGATTTTGCTTTATATATAATAAGTGAATTATCATTTCCATTTAAAATTATCAGTGACAGTACTACATTGTCTTATAATTTAGAAATGCAAAAAATCATCTCTTACTTAGCTCACTATTCACTGAATATTTGGAAATTGGCACTTTGGGGCAGCAAAAAGCTTAAATAAAAATAAAAGTTCACTCCCCAAACGAAATATTAACGGACTATCAGCTCTTGCTCCAGTGCCCATCATCTTTTCTCAATTGAATCAACTTATTGCCTTCCCCTTGCAGGCTAAAAACCTTTTTGCTCTGTTCAAACATCAGGTGAATAACGTGAAAAATTAGGAGGTTAAGTCAAACAAAGACATGTAAGAACTCCAGAATTCAATTGGGTTGTATTCTACTCTCCATTAAGAAGAGTTCAGCAGTCCTAAGATATGTGTGAAAAAAAAATGCATGAAGATATTTTAATCTACTGCCTTTTTTTTTAATGCAGTAAAAGTCAAAGAAATAAATTCTAAAAGTGGTCAAATTTGGTGGGAGTTTGCAGAATTCAATGGATAGGCTGAGGAGTTAGTGAATGTGTAAAGCTTGAATCCAAGAGCATATTCCATGTGAAATGCTCATTTTAAAATTATGAAGTCATTAATGAAACAACTTTCAATAGTGATCAGCTTGTCTCATTGTGGTCACCAACAAAAATCAAGTTATTACCTAAGTTAAAATCTTTGGTTATGGTCTTCCAGTTCCCACCAAGATGATGTATCCCTACTCCTTAATGTCTTTGCTTTCACAACTAAAGATCCCTAGACGTAACCAAACAAGTATTGGAAGTCTCTGTAAGGTGG